TGATATGCATTGATGCAAATGCATAGATGTAAATAACCAACGACAACCGAAATGCTTAGAAATCTGATCACGCCTCACAAGCTAACGAAATAGCTCTAACGCTGGTCTATGTATCCATGTGGTCGAATAAGGCGTTACTTCCCAACAATTGTTTTAGTTATACAACCCAAGTTGTTTCTTTATTCCATTCTATCCATTTAATCTTTATTCGTAATAGGACATCATTATTTATTTAGCAAACTAATTATTCCGGAGCTACAAAAATTACAGTGAGTACCTAATATTGTTAGGAGCCTACTGTAAAAATTTCAGATCCAACACTATTACCAATTTATCACAACAATTCCTACAAGTTTATATTTTTATAATATTAAGTACCTTAAATCAATTATATATCTTCCAAGAATATTATCAAACTATGTGAATAAAATATACTAATAGGTAGATTATGATTTTAGGAGACTAACAAAATTGGTTTCATAATTTTTGGACTCCTAAATGATTTTATATTTAAATAACAAAATTCGCTCAGAATTTATATTAGGAAACCCACTCTAATTCACTGGAAAACATAAAAGAAGTACCGTGGCCCACGACCGACGAACCGGCCTGGCCCGAAGGCACACGCGCGGCCTAGGCGTGTGGCACCAGTCGGCCTAGGCGGGGCGGCACAGGACTAGCCCAGCGCGGCACAGCGGTCCAGCGGACGCGCGACCCAGGCGCTCACAACAGACCGGACAACGAGCGGCCTAGGCCTGAGGGGCGCACGACCCAGGCGGGGCGCCGAGCAGGCAGGCCCAGCGCGCGGCGAGGGCGGCCCAAGTGCGGTGGCCACAGGCTAGCCCAGCACGCGGGCGCAAGCGGCCCAACAAGCCGGCCCACGCGTTGCCTTCCCAACAGGCCTGGCGATTATGCAGCAACGACCCTGCGCTTCTCCTTATTTAGTACGCTACTGTTCATATGGGTCACGTAATTAGCAATAAGAACCCTGGAATTACTCAATCCTTACCCCGAGGTCCCTCCTTTCATCTTCAAAACAGAGCACTGACGGGGAATGATTGGCCGGCGGTCAATCCCGGCCGGAGAAGGCACGGCGGTGGCGGGAACTCACCGATGAGGGGCATGAGAGCCTGCGCGACCACGCTTGGCCACGGCAAGACCCGAGTCGGTCCCCAGTTGTTCGCCCGCGCGAGCCATGGTGGCAGGCACGGCGGCTGCGGCGGCGCCGGCCGGGAGCGCCGCGGCAACGGCGCTAGGAGCCGGTTGGAGGCGAAGGAGACGCTTGAGAATGACGACGCCGTGGAGCAGCAGGCCTCGTGCGGCCGAGGGGCTTGTGCTCGCAGGAAGACCGACGGCGGCGGGTGCGGACAATGGAGACGTGGCGCGGGGAGGAAGAACGAGAGGCGTCGGTGCACGCGGATAGGCCGGTGCCGGCAGCGAGGGAGAGACGCGGCGGCATCAGCAATAGGGACGGGGCGGCGTGGCCATAGACAACGGAACGCCCGCATGGTCGCGGCGCGTGGACAGCGGAGGCGGCACACGGAAGGGGCAACGCCGTGGAGGTTCACGCGCACAGGAGGTGGGAGCAGCAGGGTGCAACGGTGGCTTCCACAGCCCGATGATGGCCACAGTGACGGGAAAAGGAGTGGGTTTGGTGCTGCACGCAGAGGAGAGGAGGCAAGGCAGAGCAGGAGTCACGCGCGGGGAGGCATTGGCGCCTAGGAGAGGCAGGGCTAGGGTCCAGCGTGGCCATGGGGGCTCGTGCGCGTGCTCGCGAGGGCCGGCGACAAACGGCAGCGAGGCAGGGTGCTGTGGCCGTCCCGGAAGAGAAGCGGCGCGGGGCAATGCGGGCCTAGGCGCGCGCTCGCGCGAGAGAGAGGGGATGAGCCGGTGCTGGGCAAGCAGAGGAAGGTGAGGGAAACAAGGAGCGACTGAGGGACAGCAGCTAGGGTCAGCAGCAGAAATAGAAAAGGAAGGGGACAGCAGCACAAGGATTGGCTAACTTCCACTATGCATGGACCAAGGCAAGCGTGCTCCCAAGCACGCGTTGCGGCAAACATGACAAGACGATGCGAGCAGCAGACAAGCAAGGCAGTACACGGCAGCAGCAGAGAGAGGCAAGGCAAGGACGAGTAGAGGACGTGATGGTGCTGCAGGGATGAAGCGACTGAACTGGCATTGAGACAGAGAAAGACAAAGGGCGCGCGGACAACGACGACGCGCGTTGGGGTTTCCCCAACTTTCATTAACGCAGGACAACGTGGATCGGCACAACGTGGCCGGCAAGGCAACCCGATTAACCTCCACCAATAATTATTTTACGCAAAAGTTCCTGCTTCGCACTAACCTACAGAGACAAAATATTTAAGCACTATGTAGTTACTTTGCTCAATATAGTTCGCCACAACCGGCGCTTGGACGAGGCGGCAGGCAGATAATGAAGAGGTCGACAAATGGAGGCAACAAGCAGCAAGCAAGCGCCATGGTCGGAAGGACGAGAGCGGGCCGACGAGGAAGCAAGCGCCGTGGGCGGCCGGCCAAGGCGTCTTGCAGAGCGAGAGCACCACACCAAGGTCACTAGTTCGACGGAACAACGGAGGCAAAGGCGAGGATGAGACCAGCAAAAGCGAGCAAAGAGACAAGACAAGAGGCATTGAAAAGCAAAAGCACCAGAGATAGAGCGGGAAAAGAAAAGGACCTCATACACTGAATGCCCGGTGTGTTGACCGCTCACCTAAAAACATCGGACGCGTAGCTCATACTGCATTACCAAGCCATGGAACAAAATATTAAAGCATTATGTGATTATTTTATGCAAAATAATTCGCCACAAACAACGCTTTAAAATATACTTTCGATTTTTTACCGTTGAGGCGAAAAAGTCTGGTTTTAAATTTTAAAATTCAAAAAATCGTCTCGGTAATTTTTCTTAGGCCTAAATCGTGGTGCTAAACAAGATCGTAACACCAGGGGTGTTACAACAACCCAGACTTACAAAGACAACCATGAGGACCACATGGCTCGGGTCTTAGTCCAAGACCTTGCTCTTTCTAGTTTGTAGCAGCCACCGAAAGGGCAAGAGAGGCATACCAGTGGGTATGGACCTCATCCCTGTGGTGTGTACTATATCTTGTGTATCGGTGCCACTTTTGGAGATGACTCCATAACACTTGGGAGATGGAATCCTTAGCGTCTGCTCCTTATTAGAACGACTTGGGAAAAGCTTCGTAGTGTACCTTGCCTGCTCACTTTGGAAGTGTTTTGGGAGTAATTAACCTGGGCATATGAGTAACACGACTCATGGTGAAAGTGCATAACCTCTACAGAGTGTAAAACTGGTATATCAGCCGTGATCATGGTCACGAACGGCCTGGATCCTTACTGAATAGTTGGTTACTTGGATGGTTTGGGTTATGGTTAAAATTGCTGATATCTCTAACTATTCATATTTGGGAGCCTAAGCATAACTTAGCAACTTAAGAGTAATAATAAAATATGACCAACTAAAAGTATTTACCGTAGTTCAGCCATGTCAAGCCTTTTGAGCTTGCATCCCCTCATGTTATGCTTGCTAAGCGGTAGTAGCTTACGCTTGTTTTATTTCAATACTTTGACAAAATTCTGGATGGGTACCAGATGGAGGTTCTTCGGTGGAGTTATCCAAGAGGTGTTAGACTTATGATCAACCAGTTGATGATTCCTGTGATGTTGGAGGCTTCGCTAGAAGATTAGAGTTATAGTATATACTGTAATGTGAAACTATGTCTTTTATATCAAATATTTATGCGCTATGTAATAAATGCATTGTCTTTGATATTACCCCTTCATTTGTAACTATATGTGTAAATTGAATTCCTGGATACACATATGGTGTGTATCTGGTTTTATCCTTAAAACTAGGTGCTACAATATCTAGCAAAAGCATAAGGAAAAAGAAGCCCAGCGCCTTAAGACTAAAGCCTCCTTTGGCACGGCTCATCCAAAATAGCTTCACCGGTGAAGCCAAAGCCGGTGAAGCCAGAAAAACTAGCTTTTCTCGGCTTCTAGTTCATTTTAACCCCGGCTTACAAAACAGCTTTATGCTACAGTACCTCGATTTACGCAAAATAGATGAAGCCGAAGCCGACATAAGCTGTGCCAAAGAGCCCTAAAGCAGAGGCTACGTCTTCGGATGGCTGCCTTCACCAGTTCTTTAGGCCGTCCTGCAGCTTCAGGATAATATCCTCCATATCAGTCCACTCCTTTAGCTTCATCATCTTCTTCCACTGTGTCAAAAATCCCACAATTTTGTAAGCAATCACCTTTGGAGAGTTTATCAGAACATTGTTAAACACCCAATCGTATCTAATCTTCCAAAGACTCCACACAACACTAGCCATAATGTAAAAAAGGACTATTATCTCCAAGGGAACCCAACCCAATGCCCATCAGATCTTGATAGTGGGAGACAACCCTTGTGGAAGTCATAAAATAAGGCCATTAAATCCCTTTTAAGCACATTCCAAAAGACTTGATAAAACTCGGCTGAAAATCTATCTGGACCAGAGCTGAGTTATGGTTCATTTGGAATATAGGACCCCTCTTTCAGACACTGAAAAATGAGTTATACTATGATGTATTGTAGGTGTTCATTCAGAACTTCCAGCATACGTATACAGGTTACAGATAATAAATCGTCGATGGATTTTGATCGCATGAAACTTACTGTGTATACCCTACTGATGGTGTTAAAAAGACCTAAAGCCAGTCAATCGAGATTTTGTACAACAACTTTTGTTTTTGAAAAAAAAAGTGGAGTAAAATGGGCCGGCCCACTAGAACAAGCCCAGGTCCACTGGATCGCTTTGACTTGCGTAGGACCCTCCCGACTCCTGCCTCCTGGGGCTTCCGCAACCGCCGCGTCGTGCCGTCGCTGCCCTGCTGCCCAAGCCTCCGGAGGTTCTAGTTCTACTAGCGGAGCCGGCTCACTCTCGCGACACCGCCGCGGCCTCCAGCCGTTTATGGACGGCGAGGAGGCGCCCTGGGCGCGCTCAACCTGGCCGAGTACGCCCCGCCGGCGCCCGCACCGTCGACTGCTACAGGCGCATCCGCAAGATCGGCGAGGGCACCTACGGGTAAGCGAGCTGAACCGAAACCCCTCGGCGGCACGCACGCTGGCCGGGCTAGAATTTCCCTTGCATTTTGGTCTGTTCCGCCTGAATCGTTCGCCGCGCGCTGCAATTGCAGTAGATGTTGAGTGGCCGTGGGATGGGATCGTACGGCCGGCGGCGGAGTGATGATGATCCGTTTGGTCCGTGGTTGCACGATTCATGGCGTACTTGGAGGCAATTGTCGGCGGAGACTTTGTGTAGGCCATCGCTTGTTGGTGGAGCAACTGTGCTTTTGTTGTTTCGTCCTAGATGCCATCAGTTGTTGGGCATCATTAAAGCTTTACTCAATTAGTTTGTTGCTTAGGGTTCCTTCGGTAGTGTTGGATAATATAGGTAGGTATTTCTGTCAGAATGCCTGAATTGTTAGGCAGGCGTATACAGTTCTGATGTATAGCAACCATGGAAACTTTATCTATGTATATAATGCAGCTAGGTAATGTCCTTTTATTTTAATCTGATGAAAGGGGGAAAATCCCATAACATCTGGTACTAACCTGATTATATGCATTTTACCAGGAATTTCACTTATTTATGCTTATATACAACTTTGCTCTGTTGCGTCAGCTTTCATCTTTTTGGACATCCTGAGTCCTAACAGTGCCATTCGTCCTAGATGCCGTCAGTTATTGGGCATCATTAAAGCTATAACCATTTAGTTAGTTGCTTAGGGTTCCTTCGGTAGTGTTGGAAAATATAGGTAATGTCTGTCAGAATGCCGGAATTGTTAAGCATGCATATACATTAAGTTCTGATGTATATCAACCATGGAAACTTTATCCATGTATATAATGCAGCTAGGCGATGCCCTTTTATTTTAATCTGATGAAAGGGGGAAAATCCCATAACATCTGGTACTAACCTGATTATATGCATTTTACCAGGAATTTCACTTATTTATGCTTACAACTTTGCTCTGTTGCGTCAGCTTTCATCTTTTTGGACATCGTGAGTCCTAACAGTGCTGTTCGTCCTAGATGCCGTCATTTATTGGGCATCCTGAAAGCTATAATCATTTAGTTAGTTGCTTAGGGTTCCTTCGTTAGTGTTGGACAATATAGGTATGTCTGTCTGTCAGAATGCTTGAAGTGTTAGGCCTGCATATGCATTAAGTTCTGATGTATAGCAATCATGAAAACTTTATCTATGTATATACTGCAGCTAGTTAATGTCCTTTTATTTTAATCTGATGAAAGGGAGAATATCCCATAACATCTGGTATTAACCTGATTATATGCATTTTACCAGGAATTTCACTTATTTATGCTTACAACTTTGCTCTGTTGCGTCAGCTTTTATCTTTTTGGACATCCTGAGTCCTAATAGTGCCGTTTTCTCTAGTACGATTTTCCCATGATAAGCTTTTATCTGTAGAAATCATATTTCTGGAATTCATATCTCGATATGTTGGGGCACATTAGGTCAGCAGAAAGATTTTCACCAAGTAGATAATCTGATAATCAAGATATGTTGTCACATTCCCCTGTTCAGCCAATTCTTTTCTAGAAAACAGCTTATGATGATGAGTTGGAGACACTAGAGCCCTATCTTATGAGATCTAGCTTCCATGCAACTCCACGCGGATAGCTCAGTATAGAATTTTGTGTGTATATTAGAAAAATGATGTTTTATGTGTTTCAGCAGTAGTTCAGGTTAAGTATCAGGCACCAGTATGTTCTTACGTTTTCGATTCTCCCCCTTCACTTGGCCATTCGTTCGCTTTTTACTGGAACTAGAGTCAAATCCAGAGCTTGCTCCCTTTGTCCAAAAGAAAGAAATTTTCACTTTTAAAAGTATATATCATTGTTTATATCCTATAATTTATAGCCTTGAACCTCTTTATCCTGGAAATATATTTTAAGCATATGCACTGAAAATGTAAGGTTTTGCAAGATATTATTTTGCTTTCAGTTGGTAACTTAGTATTTGAATCTTGCGTTTTTCTTTTCTTTCTGTTTTGACTATTGTAAAATACTCCTCTGAGAGGGTCTGATACTCTGATTGTATTCAGTGGAACGTAAATAAATAGTGCCTACCTTTTATTCTGTATCTAAAATGGTTAATAGGGTCAAGTACTTCCATTGCAAATTTGATTATGCACTGTGCAACACGCAAGGTGTATGAAGATGCAAAAGATCAAATCTCTTGAGAATTTTTTTTTGCATTCTTGTAGAATCAATAGAGCCATTAGTAGTCTTCCGCACTGACAATAATTTATAGTCCTTTCTGAACCCCTACTTTTACTGAATCAGGTGGACTATAATGGTCTTCCATTATGTCTTAAGATCTTTGAAATAACCTGCTAAACAAGGCTCTTTGAAATAACAACAACAACAACAACAACAACAACAACAAAGCCTTTAAGTCCCAAACAAGTTGGGGTAGGCTAGAGTTGAAACCCAACAGAAACAATCAAGGTTCAGGCACGTGAATAGCTGTCTTCCAAGCATTCCTATCTAAGGCTAAGTCTTTGGGTATATTTCATCCTTTCAAGTCTCCTTTTATTGCCTCTACCCAAGTCAACTTCGGTCTTCCTCTGCCTCTCTTCACGTTACTATCCGGACTTAGGATTCCACTACGCACCGGTGCATCTGAAGGTATCCGTTGCACATGTCCAAACCATCTCAACCGGTGTTGGACAAGCTTTTCTTCAATTGGCGCTACCCCTAATCTCTCACGTATATCATCGTTCCGAACTCGATCCCTTCTTGTATGCCCGCAAATCCAACGCAACATACGCATTTCTGCGACACTTAGCTGTTGAATATGTCGTCTTTTCGTAGGCCAACATTCTGCACCATACAACATAGCAGGTCTAATCGCCGTCCTATAAAACTTGCCTTTTAGCTTCTGTGGTACCCTTTTGTCACATATGACACCAGACGCTTGCCGCCACTTCATCCACCCTGCTTTGATTACTCTTTGAAATAACAACGGTTAAATTTTCAGTCTTGATGTTCTTTCTTGTCCTTAGGATTATTTCATGATAAGAAAATGGAATAAAGGAGATCTCCTGCCATATTTTCATTAGTTTTATTTGATCTGCCAGGGCATTTTACTACTATACTGAATATCTATGGTCTATCTAACCGCCTTAATTTGTCACTGTCATGTCTTTTCCTACAAATCTCAGCGAGGTATTTGAAGCTGTGGATATTATTACTGGGGAAAGAGCAGCACTTAAGAAAATAAAACTGGATGATGGCAAAGAAGGGTAAGCTTTATGATCTCAACAAAGTTAATAAGACTCAAGCACATTGTTTTGTGCGCGTTATAGACCCCTCTGAACTATTCAGTACCTCTGTAGTTTCCACGCCAAATCTTGCGTGAGATTAAACTATTAAAAAAGCTGGATCATGAGAACATCATCAGATTGAAAGAGATTGTAGTATCTCCTGGTAACAAATGTTCATCTAGTCATTTCTAGATATATAATAGAGTGCATTAGTATAATGACATTGCTTAACCATTTATTTAAAAATTTTCTCAGGTTCTGCACATGGAACAGGCGGATCAGGTATAGTATCACTCAGTTCTCTTTTGTTTTATTGCTTATATTCTTTATTAATGTAGCTCATGCTGATGGATTTAATATTTTCCCTGTTAATTGATTTTTACCTGCATATAATTTTATCCTGTGGACTGTGCAGATGATCACATCTATAGGGGAGATATCTACATGGTGTTTGAATACATGGACCATGATTTGAAGAAAGTATTGCACCATAGTACCCCATCCCAAGTCAAGGTACTCAAGTGTACTCCTTCCATCCATAAATCTTGCGCACATTTCTCTTCACATTTTTTCTAGCAATCTAAGGCATGGTTTGCTTCCCTATGCATGTTTTTTGTTGTTTTTTGTCAGTAGTGCCTCTGTTAACTCTAAGTTTTCTGCATGTTATTAGCAATGTTGGTTGCTGTGTAACTGTGTTAGCCACTAGTAATCACATATGAATGTATGATGCTGCTTCATGGTCCATTTTCTAGGGGTGGAGCCAGTATTTGGGCATCACGGGGGTCATATCATATCACATATACTTATACTGATTTTGGCTAGAACATAGATAATAACAAGCAAATGAGTGCATGTTTTTCACTTTTGCAATACAAAGAAAGTTATCTGTCCTAAATAGCTCAAAACATAGCAGAACATAACAAGATAGCATATGTCACATTAGGATGTTCAGCAGCATGGGAGCTTGAAACAGTTAATTCAGTAGCTTGATCATTTGTCACCTTATGATTTTCAGCAGAATGGGGGCTTGAAACAACTGGCTTATAAAGCTACAAATGGTCTTCAACCTCCTGTTCATCTTGGCTAAACAATGAATCAAGTGATCAACTAAAGACAATAAAAATAATTCTAAATTAAAGAGAAAAAAGGGATATATATAATTGAGTTAGCCCTAGCCCCACCCGACTATTAATCTAATTATAAAGCATGTTGCAATTGGAAACTAAATTCATATGAAGGGAGTGTGAAGCATACCTTCTGGAGTACTCCTACATGAATTCACAGCCCTAGTGCTGCATTCCACTGCACATTGCAACACACGCTGCCCTGGCGAGTGGAGCGTAGGCACGTGAGTGGGGCCGCAGGGGTGAGTCGAAGAAAGGAGAGGAAGTTGAAGTGTCGCAGTCAAACAAAGTGGTGTGGAACAGCACAAATAGTTCTGCCTGGCTTGGTTGGGCTTATTCTCAATCCTCCATGGATGCGCCACAAATGTCAAGAAAACAGTAATAACATCATTGGAAACAAAGATTGATGTACCTATTGGCGACTTAGATGTCATCCCTAGTATCCATGGACAAGGGTGAAAAACAAGAAGCAGCCATTGGCTTTGGTGAGATGTCGTCCCAGACTCCATGGAATCTGAGATGACTAAGATGAAGCCCTCATGAGCAATGGCGAGGTCGTCCCTGATTGCATGGACAGTGGTGAAGGCTGCAGAGCTCATGGGCTTATGCTGATGCACCAGTACCAGTGACCTCTATATTTGTTATTTTGTTCTCATCCATGCATAAGTGGCAGGAATCTAATTTCTCATCCAAAACGGCATTGTGTGGCCTCTAATTTTCCATTCAAATTTTCATTATGTGCCAGTTGGCTTCAAATTTTCAGAAAAAAAAAACTTTTGGGGCAGGGCATAGCCTAGCTTGAGTTACCAGATCCCTTTTAGATGCCTTGACGTATTGTTATGTGTCTGTGCACTAAACATGCATGCAAGTGCCCATAAATTGATTAGGCGGTGGCATGCCATGAAATAATGCATTTTACTCAAGGACTTGGGGAAATAAGTCATTTTGAGTGAATCCTTGATTTAGGCGCTGAAGAGAAACATACCCAAGAATTACTGAAAAAATTATGGATTAACAGTGAGATATGTCATTAATCATTAGTGTGTTTCTTCAAATAACCAATTATTGATGCAAATTTTCATTTCTTCAGGTTTATATGGGGCAGCTGCTAAAAGGATTGCAGTACTGCCATGTCAACAATGTACTTCATCGGGATATCAAAGGTTTTCGCTTTTTTAGATTTAACATGAAATTTTGCATCTCTGGTCATTTGTACCTTCGACCCCATTTTCTCTGACTATGTTTGGATCTCATATTTGCCTGTTTATTGAATTGTTTGTAGGGGCTAATCTTCTAATAACTGGTGGTAAGTTGTTAAAACTCGCAGATTTTGGCCTTGCAAGGCTGTTCACTAGAGATGGAACTTTAACAAATCATGTCATCACTTTATGGTACCGGTAAGTGGAATGGGGAAAAGAACATCATAACACATTTGTTTGGGCCAAAACCTTTTTATCCCCTTATACTAACACAACTTTTTCCATGAATATGTGCTGATGTGGACATCATTACAAACTGTTCATAGACCCCCTGAGTTGCTTCTTGGTGCCACAAGTTATGCTGAACCTGTGGATATTTGGTCTGTTGGTTGCATATTTGCGGAATTTTTACTCAAGAAACCATTATTTCCTGGCAGATCCGAGGTGTGATGCTTATACTTCTCTCCTTTGTGCTCTTGCTCCTGGTGCTATTTTTCCTATAATAAGTGAATTATTATTTACATGAAATTTGGTTTTGTGAACATTGAACATGATGAGTTTTTGTGTTGTAAACGAGGAATATCACGTGGGATTAGATTGATTGATTGCCAAGTACAGGATACATGTGTATCAACCACAGGGTGTGCCAGAGCTAGAGGCTGCAGTAACCCTAGGTGCATGGGCCTTAGGCCAACCATGGCATAGACCTAACCAGCTCAATAACAGCCTGTCTAACAGGCATGACGCACAAATACAGCAATTTGTGCGTATTTATCTATTTTATTACTGTTATATGATCCCTGTCTTTCCTACTTTGTTCTATTATGCATTTTCTGTTACGCTGATATTTTGTTAGATGTACATATCTATGCTGTATATTTTCCCACTATTGTAAGGGGTTTAGTGCATATTGTACAGAACCTTGTCTTCCCCTTTGGGGACTGCAATACAATGTGAGTTTGCATTTCCGAACATGGTAACAAATTGTGATGCTCATACTTGCACCATTAAAGACACACTCATTCCTGTGCTTCCAAATCTCCCAGGCCACCAGGGTAATGAGTGAATTAAGCCCTTTTTCATCTCCTTAGGCACATCCTTGATTGCCTGGTACCACCAACTTGAAAATTTGCTAGTAGAAACCGGACTGATGGAGCTCAACCCAATCTCTGAAGAATAATAAACCAGACCTATCTAGCAAAGACGCAAGAGATCAACAAATGCTGGGTGGACTCTCCTGCCTGATCACAAAGAAGGCTGCTGGATGAGGGAGTCCTTTTTTTGCTAGACGATCACCAGTCCAGCATCTATTGTTGGTTGCAGGCCAAATGAAGAACTTGCAATGTTGAGGAGCCCAGCTCTTCCAAATCTTTTCCATGGAGCAAAGCGAATGGAGCCAAGAAAGTAAGCATTATAGGCTGATTTGCTAGAATAAATACCAGACCTGGTGAGCTTCCATCGGTGCTGATCTTCAACCCCCTCTCGCAGCAACATATTATGAACCAAATCCCATAGCAAGAGGTACTCTCTCAGGACCAGGACAAAGAGTCAGAGAGTGTACCTTTAATATCTGAGACCCTATGGCAGGTCTTCAAAGCCTGCGCAACCGTGTGCTGTTTTATGACTCTCTTAGGGATTGTTTTGAAAAGATTAGGTGCCAGCTGCCCAGCTCAGAAACTGTATTTCCTCGCAGCCACCTATTGGACCAGAACAGGATGCTTTCCCCATTACCAACTATCCGCAACCTTGAAAAGAGCCTGAGCATTTTTGAGGGATTTGAATAGGTAATCCTGCCCAAGGTGAGAACTGTCTGTCTTGTCAAGCCAAAGCCACCTAATGCGGAGAGGCCATCCTAAATACTCCAGATCATGAATACCAAGCCCTCCATATTGTAGTGGCATTTTGACTCGATTCCAGGAAACCAGACAGTTTCCACCATTTGCTTTTTCTTGAACAAGTCAATTTTCTCTTGATTAATCAAGTCCATAGATGCATCTATTCATCTCTTATGACAAGATTATTTCCATCAAATAACACATCTTTGAAAGAGGGATTTTATTTCTTTAGACCATCAGAGTTCAGTACTTTTTTTAAGACCACCTTTAGGCAAATGTGGATGTTAGTAACTTAGTATTATGGTTTCATGTGTTATATTTTACTGTCAGTTAGGATCTTGAACTTATTGAATTGATCTGTTGTATTTTTCTTACTTTTCCCAGTTTGTCTCTTGATTTCTGTTTGTGTTGGATATCCTAGTAATAAAACACACTAATTGCTATTTTCATGTTTTCACTTATAGTCAGCTCCTATAACTCTTTACTCATGAGCATGGCAACACCTTTCTTTACAATATTTCCTCGAATATGGATGAGTAGTTTCAGGTTATTGACATCATTCAACTTTTCTTATTTTGTTATGTTTATGCTTGAAACCTTGACAGAAGCTTGTGTTTTGTTTTAGCAAGAGCAGTTATCGAAAATATTTGAACTGTGTGGATCTCCAAACGAGGAAAACTGGCCAGGTGTTTCCAAGCTACCATTGTATAAGACTATGACTGTCCGTCCTGCGACTCCTACCAAACAAAGCCTGAGAGATATGTTGCAGAAGTAATCCACTGACTGTATTTCTTACGTGTAGGTATTTAGTGTGGTCACTATTTTTTTTTATGTTTGAATTTAATATATCAAAAAATTCTTTTCAGCTTTGACTGTCATGCTGTTGAATTAATTGAACGAATGTTGATCCTTAATCCTTCACAGGTATGTTGCTCTTATGTTTCACACATCTATCTTTCAACATTTGCTTTGTTATCTGAGATTCAATATCAGGCATGCTGACTAATGCAAACTCCATATCAGCATATTCATGACTACTAGTGTTTTTTTTAGGTGGGTCAATGGACCTGCTATACGCATCTCAACTATTTGAAAAATGCTGGAAATGGTCTAATAATCGGTGTGTCTTTGTTTGCAGAGGATTTCTGCACAAGATGCTCTTGGTGCGGCATACTTCATCAACTAAACTCATATGGGGGGAAAGAAGTATAAATTCGCTGTTCTCTGCGACTAAGTTTTGTTTACCTTGTCAGAATGGGTATGGGGATCTCATTGGTGTAAGTACTACCTGAAGACTGAAGTCTTGTTTCTCCTGCTGACATTGGATTAGGACTAGCAAGCAGTTTAACTTTGTCTGTTCAAGCTTTAAATATAATATATATAGTAGATGTATTGTACATTAACTCATGGCAAACTGTATGTGATTATTAGTTAATAATAACAAGTACTGATTCTTGGTATATTTTCATATGACACAGTGTTTCATCACCCTGTTCGCTTGATCGTATCAGCCATGCTTATCAGCCATGATACAGTGTTTTTCTCTCACAACGAAACAGCATCAGCCGGCTTATATCTACCTCCAAACTGTCTAACCTAATTCAAATCAGTCCCAGCATGCTAGTTGCTTCAACAGCTAAGGCATAAATGAAGAATCAATTGATCATATATGATTTCTGCACAATGCCACTGTTAGTAATCAAGTAAACACGACCAGTTAATTAAATGATATGCATTCAGATTGTTGGCCTCAGTCTCTTGTATGCTTAGCATACAATGAATAGCTATGATCTATACGTGTATATCTGCAGTAACCAATGGCTGTCTGAAAGCACAGGACATATTTTTACCCTCCCATTTGGTTAACAAAAACTGTTTCTAACTACCCTCTGCTTTATACTATGTACATTTACATATTGTGAAGAGGATCAGTTTGCTTCTATGCAAAATTTGTGAATTTTTTTTTCTGTATCTTCTAGTACTAAAGAAATCAGGACTAATTCTTTTTTCCATCAAAAGTACTCCTTGTGGAAATCAAAGCGGGTTCCCGTTTTGTGGCTCATGTCAAGTGACAGTTTCTTCAGTTCTTTGGCAAGTGTAGGTCTCCCACAGTAAAATACCCCTGCATGCATAATAAACTCTCATGATCAGAATGACGAACACTTGATCGATGCTCAATAGTTTTTTTCATGCCTTTCAGTGTGCTGAGAAAAAAAATGAATACATTGGGGGCAAAATATTACCGACTGTAGAATTTGGGTGCTTGGACGCTATTCTTGTAAATACTTCTTTCCAGTTAGGTCTTGCAAAATGTGTCCTGACCTGAAACATGAACACAATTAATATGTTCAAAAGCAATCATGATCATCAACATTCCCGAGATTATTATTCAGCGAATTCATGATACTTTGTTTACTGAACCAAAGTGTGTTTACCCTTGTGCCTGACACTATGTCTACGCCATGCTTGGCGTGGTTCAGGGCCTGCACCATCGACAGCAGGGTCGTCCTTGCATCTCGCTCCTCATACACGCTCGTCAGATAGTTGTGCAGCTCAATGACACCCTGGTTAAACCATCAGGAGGACAGGAACCCCATCGTCATGAGTACATTAACAACATCTGCAAGGAAAACAGCACACAGAAAGGCAGAGACATCACCTTCATGTCCATTTCAGCGACCTCATTCATCACCCCTGAAACCACTCGAACGATCCAGGCTCCCTTGTGACCCAGTAGAAGTGTGCGCAGCTTGTTCGGTATGCCCGCCTCTTGTTGCTGCTGCTCGCCGTTGACGCGCTCAAGCTGTTGGCGCTGTCCTCGGACCGGCTGGTCTCCATTGCCAGGTCCTGAAAGGTTCAGACAAAGTGACCGTCAGTGTCAGGCAAGCAAGAACTGAGTCACAGAAAGCTGAAGAATGGATGCTACAATGAGTCGATACCATCAGCTCGTCAGCCAGCTTGATGTTGTTCAGAAGATCTCTCAGGATGCTGATGAAAGGCGTTGCGCCGATCCCAAGGCCGACAAGGAGCAGCACGTCATAGTTCCTGAAATCCTGCGCTGGGGCGCCGTAGGGGCCATCGACCAGCAACCTTGGCGGACTGCATCAGAGCCCAGAGGAGGCAAGGCATTGCTCAGTTTTCATATTGATCAGGCAGCTCTCAAACAGGGGAGCAGACATGGCGTGGAGAATGCATGCATGGAAGAACCTCTTGTGCTCCACCGCGCCTAGCTCCCCGAAGGCAGCCCTTCGGGGCACGCATGGCGTGAAATAGTTCTCGACGAAGATTCGCTTGAGTTCTTGTGTCCAGTCACCCCTGGTCTGGATGTGGACGCTGATGTAGTCGTCTCCAGGAGCTGAAGTGATGGAGAACGGATGCCTGCCATGCGAAGAAGCAGTATCAGAGATGAGTGTAACAAAAAGAAGCAAGGGTGATCGATCGAACAAGTAGACAAATGAAGAGTCAGGCATACCACTCAAATGGGGAGATCGTTGGACACTGGAGGAATATGTACTGCCCACTTCTGTAGCGGAATCCGTAGGGTTTCGACATGGTTATGGTCAAGACGTTCCCCGGTAGAAGGCACACCTGAGTGAACCAGATTGCAGTAAGAGCATGCATATACTTTTCATCTCTTCCTACTTCCAACCATCAGGTATTTGTATCTTGCTTATGACAAGCTAATTCATTTTTTCCAAACTAATTAGCTTATCCTAAACATCATATATTTTCTCTCTTTTCTTAAGGAAGAAAAGGAGCAGCAGAAAACCCCAAGCCATTTTCTTTGTTTAGATCATTCTTTTGTGAGCATCTAGTTTGGTCTTGAAATTGTGGGACTACTGACATGAAGTGACCTACTAGCTAGTGATGGGCAGTTGTTGTAAATGAGACAAGTGTTCAATTAAGCCTACATGACCCTATTACGTATCCTAGTGCCAACATGACCTAGCACCATATCCTCATCATACTGGCCACATGCCAGAATCCTTTTATATGACTCTGAAACCATCCATTCTCCCAACGGCAACGATGCTTTCGACAGTTTGCAAGAACAAAGACACAATTGACCCAGACCAAGCCATACGCCCGTTTGTCTTTTCGACCAACTGACGATGATGATATAATGTGATAGTTTGTTGTCACTTGTCAGCGAGGGTGCCAAGTGCCAACTGATGCTAGCCATCCAGATTATGAGACATATATATGCAGGGGACAGAGGCTAGATTATGGTACGCTACGCCTGGGTGATAACTGCTCTCAAAACTTCAGATAATGAGATGTTTAGATGTGGTCTAGGATGTTAAGTTACCTTGAGAATCTTGACTGCGTAAGCCTTGGATCGGAAGGCCCGTAGTGTCCGTTCCCCGACGTAAAGCACCAGGGGTACAGAAATGTACATCCATGTCTGCATCACCGAAGAGATCACACTGTCAGCATCAAGTTTTTGTCTGCTCCGTTATTAAAAAGAGAATGAAGAGGTTAGATGCAGACAACTCAAAACACTTGGAGAATGTATCAACATAGCATCAGGTTTTCTGATTCTCGTCGACAGGCCAAGTGAAGATCATCTTACTTAAACTGCATGCAGATAGAAACATGGCTGCAAAAAAAGGCTGCAGCAGGTAGCAGTGCTTACACTTACAGTACTAACGTTTTATATTCTAGTACAACATTGTTTCAGGCTCCAAGTTAAATACAAATTAATCTGAACTGCACCAACCAACACATATCCAACCACTGTTGGCAGCTGTCAGATTCCCTTGTGCACAGCATAGGAATGCCCATTCAAGTGTCTTGCAATGTGCTAAAAAATGGCAGTTGTATAGCGGTGAGTGCAAAAGTTTGTATTCTTGCGCATTTCGGGTCCAAGGAACAGTTTTTTGAATTAATTGCTTGCAGATGCCACATCCGTGACACCTTTACAACGAAGCCCGCCACCGCAACATGTGGCAATACGAAAACAAATAAGAATTCATCAGAAATTTGCAAAGGACCTGAAACAGGTGTTTACAAAATAGAGGCTGCTGCTCTCCAACAGTGGTCCTGAAAAGGAGGTTTATTTATCACAAACGGATTAGGCTTGGCGCTAAAAGGGTCCCAAACTCCCAAGGGGCCAAGGGGGTGTCGTGTCTTGTGAGCCTGTCCCTGTGGTGATGTGGATTCGATCCCCATCCGGCCAGTTGCTGAGACGTCTACGCATGAAACGACATGGCAACGCTCCGCTGCTCTGGGCTGGGACTGGGACTGGGACTGATCCAGAGCTGGCTGCTGGCGACATGGATCTTTTCCTGTCATGGTATTATTCATTCATGGGAGAGAGTTCGTACGGTACGGGTGCAGGCGGCCATGACTACGAACACGAGATAGCTTACGGCCAAAGCCTTTAAGCTGCCCGTGTCCACTGATGCGAACGTGCTTGATTGACAGGTACGCTTTGTTAATGCTATGCAGATACGCTTGGGGTTCCGTCTTGTCTTGACCTCAACGGACCACCAACCGGCGCTGCCTGATGATGCCTGTGACCTGACCTGACCCCTCCCAACATGCATGATCAGCGATTGATCGAGCATGGCTACTAGCGATCCAAACATGTTGCCTCCTCATTTCGGCAAGAGTGTTTGGCTACTAGCATGCGTACATGCATGCGTGGCTGCAATAATCCAGGACGCCTATGACTTACTAAAGTTTTGGCCAGCTCTGCAAAGCTTATCAAACTGTCACCCTCCTCTCTAGGTCTAGGGAAAACACAGTTTCAAACAGCGCAACGCAAGGTGGTGGCCTACCTTAATTTCTCCATCTCCAATTAATGTCCCAGACCCTACGTACTCCATTACTGTGCAAAATGGGTATGATGCATGCATGCCTTGTGACAGTACGCCGCCTACTATCTTTCTGAACTCTGGCTTAGCTCGACCGGCCAGTCCTTAGCTTCAGCTACATTTTATATTTCCTTCTTATCTAAAAAAAACATTTTATATTTCCTTGTCGGTGGTGGCCAGTGCCCATCAAGTCATCAACATAATAACAGCCGCGAAGGCGACGGATGGAAACGGATCAAAGCCAAAGAATCGTAGCGATCGACAGAAAAGTGTGCACATCTATCATAGAGCTTTCCACGATGCAAAGGACCGAATCAGGACCAAAATGTGAGCCTGTAACGATCGAGAGAGCTACTATATATATACGGTATATGTGTAGCAAGCTAGAATATTAAACACACTGATGAATAACCACTGCTAGCTGCTCATGTATTAGGAGGATAGATTGAGTAGTGAGTGATATAGTTACGTACCGTCCTCTGGTACCACTTGTCGACGAGGAACATGAACCAGCCGTGGACGATCAGCAGGAGGTAGACGACGATGAGCAGGTGGTGCGAGTACCAGAAGGCGTTGAAGCCGGCGAGGTGGGCGAGAGGGAAGAAAGGGAGCCGCCGCCACCATCGGCCGCCGCTGGCGCCCCTGCTGGCTGCCTTGGCCTCCTCCCGCTTCCGGAATGAGCGCGTGGCGAGGGTGAAGGAGACGGCCATGAGCGTGACCATGACGATCCCCGTGACGCCCTCGGCGCCGGCGAGGAGGCCCCGGTAGCTGGGCTTGTCCCGCCCGAAGAAGCGCGCCACCAGCCGGTACTCGTCCGGCCCCGACGCGATCAGCCGCGGGAAGTCGCACGCCAGGTGGTTCCCCGCGTGCAGGCAGATGCCCACCGCGATAGCCAAAGCGATGATCTGCGCCATGCCATTGCATTGCATTGCATTTGCATGCATGCCATCATATATATGCTATGCATGGGTAATTCATATTGATTGATTGATTAATTCATCATCACAGTTAATCAAAAGCACTAAAACCATCTTAATACAACTTTTGAATTAAAAAAAATCGTAATGCAACTTTTTTTTTTTAAAAAACGTCATGAAGTAATTATGGCCAGGTGGTGGTGATAGCACACCTTAAATATTAATACTTGATAAGGCATTGCACTGGCTAGGTACTTGCATCAAGAAAGCAAGCAAGCAAGCAATCAAAGGCGTTACCAAGTGTCAATCGCGAAATAAATCATCGGGACCCGGGGTATCTGATTCTCTATGCTTTCAGCTGTCTAATAATCGCATTATTAGGTTATGTGTCGCAAACTTCGTTAGCGAAAACTGGATTGAACTAAGGTGAATTAATGCACGTGTTGAATATTTATAATATTGAAATAAATCAGCCTTAATCTTGGCATGATTGGAGGAGCATTCGCCCGACTAGGTCATGAAAGTTTTTACTGTTTGCACGACTGAACACAACGTGGATCAACGCTTTAAGATTACATTTCAACACGTTTCTCTCAAGACAAGACTCGAGACTCGAGAGGGGTGCGCATGGCCCCCACCTGGCAGCGGAAAACCTGTCGGTCCGGTGACTTCCACTTCCACGTCATCGGAGTATTCGGACCAGAAATCTTGACCAGGAGTCCAGGACAAGACTGCTGCCGGGCCGCGCGCGGAGACACGCGGATCTTCTGCGCCGTCCCGTTCGCAGGCCTCCCGGCAAACCGCTAATCTGACTTCTGATTGGACCGCCAGGAAGGGCCCACAGCGACCCCTAAAGTACGCGACGGCCCGAAAGGCCAAAAAGCCGTGCGGCAAAGCCGCACGAGATCCAAGCCCGCATGGCCCCACGCGGCAGCGGCAATGATTGACCGCGCGACGCAAAACACGACGGACGCCGGCGCCTCGCCACCGACGGCGACCGACCACCCTCCGGCTGTCGCCGCAGTAAGTAGTACAGGACTTCGAACTTACTGTATTACTATGGGGTGTGGCCCCGCATGCCAGGAGATCTTTGTATTACCTTGTGGAAGGCGATGCTGTCGTCGAAGGGGACGAAGAATCGTGCCCAGGTGGAGCGGAGCCACGTCAGCGTGTTGCGGCAGACCGGGAGCAGCACGAGCGCCATGTTGAGCTTGAGCGTCTCGGCGGCGCCCTTGGCCGTCGGAAGGCAGTACCCCATCACCCGGAACGCCGCCGACCGCCGGTACTGCACGAACCGCCACGCGAACAGCGACGCCATGGCCGCGAGCCACAGCGCCACCACCCACGCGCGCCGCCAGCTCTCCGCCGCCGCCACGCGCGCCCGCGCCGCCGCGCGCCGCGCGGCTCCACCTCCGCCGCTGCAGCTGCCACTGCGACGACGGCTGCGGCTGCGGCTGCTGCTGCCCGCCTGCGCCCGCGCCCACGCCGGCGCCGGCGCTCAGGCCCTGGCTCCACTGCGCCGCGCTGCCGCTGCTCATCGGCCGGCTGTAGGTCATGTACGCGTCGCGCTGCAGGAGCAGCGCCTCCAGCTGCCACAGCTGCGTGCGGACGTGGCCAGGCCAGCCAGTCAACACTCAACAGAAGTACACTAGGTATTGACACGTAGCTGTGGTGTATTTGTACGCATGTATCCGTACCTCTATGTAGCCGAGATTCTCCGAATCGAGCTCCTCCATGATCAGGGACGCGTACTCCTCAGCCTGCTCCTTAAGCTTCGACAGCTTGTTCGCCGACGCGCTCAGAACGATCAGCTGGGAAAGAAAAATGAAAACTTTTAGTTAGGCTGATCACACGCTGGAGGTCAAGCCTAATTACCTACCCGCACAGTGAAACTCCATGCATAACTAACCCGATTGAAGTGATAGTTACAGCAATACAAGTAATACTGAGACATGTTACTTTCAATTACTCCTGGACTACTAACCAGTAACTCAGTTGACTAATAATTAATCAAGTGGGCTTCGTTCAACTTGATTTGATTTACCTCTTGCACTTCTTCCCTCGTGATCCTACCGTCCACGTTGGTGTCCACCCTGAATTGAAATGGATTTGTTTCAGGCCAAGAACACAAGCAAAACAGAGGAAATCGGTGCAGGATTGTGAGGGGCTGTCGCGCACATGTCGAAGAAGATTTGGAGGCGCGCGTCGAAGCTCTGGTCGGAGATTTGCAGCCAGAACTCGTAGAGCTCGTCCTTGCTGATTCGCTCCAGGTTCTGCCGCCGCCGCCGCGCCAGCGCGTCGAAGATGCCCACGGCGAACTCCTTCGAGTCCACCATCCTGCAACACCACCAATGCCGTCAGCCCGTCGTGGTGGTGGGCGCGCGCGTGTGATCGCGTCGCGTTCATGGCTAGTTCGGACGAACGAACGTGCGTACCGATGCAGTCGCCGAAGTCGTCGCGGGCGAGGAGGCCGTCGGTGGCGAGCGCGTTGAAGCGCTCCTCCACGGGGCGCCAGAGCGCGGCGCCGCCGTCGGCGTCGGTGGTGGTGCGGCTGATGAACCGGAGGCCCTTGAGCGCGCGCCGGGCCCCGGACCGCGACCGGTTCAGGAGGCGCGCCTGGACGCGCCGCCGCTCGCGGGCCGCCAGCGCCGCCTCCCGCACCACCTGCTGGTCCGAGGACGCCGCGGCGGCCGCGGCCTCGGGCGGGGGAGGGGGACGGCGCAGCGACGGCGAAGGCGACCGCAGCCACGCGAACTTCCTGCGGATCCGCGACGACGTCGACGAGCATCGGCTCAGGCTCCGCGGGCCGTCCGGCGTGTGCGCCGCCTGCGGCGCCGCCCCCGCGCCGGGCAGCGACGTTGTGGGCGTCCCGTACAGCGCCGCGGTGGTGGGCGTGACGCTGCGCACCACCATGGACTCCTCGTCCAGCTCCAGCATCACCTCCACGAGGTCGCTCTGGTCCGCGAGGAACGCCGGCAGCATTCCCCCGTCCGCGGCGGACGTGGAGGCGGCGACGTACTCGTCGCTGTGCGCCGTGATGAAGGACTCATTGTCCGACACGTCGGTCTGGTCGTCGGCGAGGTAGTCCGCGATGCGCCGGCGCCAGGTCCGCCGCCCGCTCCCTGACGACGACCCCCGCGACGGCGCCCACATGGCCGTCCCTCCCCTAGGCTTCTTGGCACCGCTGCTGCCCTCGCGGCGTGTGCATATCCCCGCGGCCTGGAAGGCTGGAACAGGAGCGCCGCTCTGCTTGTACTTGGCCTCACCCTGCTCACTGCTCAGGTGATCAGCTTGCTTGTCGCGAGCCTGCCGAGCTGAGCAGCTGAGGGCGGGCCGAGCGGCAGGCAGGGCGATGTATATGCTCGGCCGGGCGTTCGGCGCCACTACCCGGTGGTTGGGATTCGGTGCGCCGAGTCGCGGACGCTTTCAAGAGGACCATATGAAAGTAGGCAAACGGTGGGTGTCGTGTGACACGGGCTTGTTAGTGCAGCCACTGACTGGAAGGTTCTCTCGCCTGCACGAATTTTAACTATTTTTCATTCAGTAAATTTTTGCGTATTCGCGCCAAATTCAGGAGACGAGATCGCATTAGGGCTACCGAACTGGATACCGACTTTGTTTATATGTGTTATTATCTGTTCCTTGTTTTTATTAACAACTGAATTTGCAGTAATGAATTACAGGAGCCGGTGAGGTTAACGAACACTGAAATCGACCCGGGCAAGTTGGAGGATAATGATTAGACCAATCTGTGCACTCTGTTTGTGTTAGCCCTGGGCAGGCATTTGACATTTTACGTCCATGTTCATAGATGACTACAGATACTGCCATTTTCTGCTTACAAATACTGCCATTTTGTTTTCTGGAAAAAAGAATAGTGCCATTTTAGGGTTGCTACAGCTTACAGATGTTAGAATTGATCTCATCCGTCTTGACCCAACGGTCGAGACGGACCCCTTGACCAGCGTCCCGATCGGGGCGTCCAGCCATCTAAGTGGCTAGTGGGGCCCGTCACACAATTGCCTATAAAGAGAGAAGTAGGGGCAAACGGCACACGCAGTGCGAGGTTCGCCACCACCACGTTTCCACCGTCCTAACCCTAATCCGATCCGTGAGGGTGGCATCGCCAACAAGGGAAGCACCACCGCCTCCACCACCACCGCCGGTCTTCACACCTACACCAAACGCGTCATTTGCCTGGCGTAGATCTTCATCGACGAACCGGTGAAGGCGGGGAGCTCCTCCAACGGTCGATGCTCCTACATCTCTCTCTCTCTCTCCTACCCCAAGCAAACTCATGATTCAACAGAAAGAACTAACCTTTGGATCCACACCTAGCCGATCCAAAGTATATAACAATGGTACCAGAGCGAGTTTTACCTAGGCGTGGATCTTGTCGGGGCTAGAAACCGATTAGAAAAGAAAAGATAGACTAGATCCGTTCGGATCTAGACAGAGAAACGAAGAACCGCGTGGGGAAGATGAACGGTTTTTAAATCGGAAGAAGTAGAAACACTAATCCTAGCAAAGAATAGAGAAAAGGAGGGTACCCATAACCCTAACCCTAACGAAGGGGAAAAAGAAATGGACAATGCGGTTCGGGGAAGTCTTACGTGGCCTCCCCGCCGCCACACTACCGCCTCACGTGGGATGGAGTACCCATCGTCGGCTAGGCGACGCGTGGGAAGAGAATCAAGATAACAGCAAAGAAAAGAACGGAGCTAGATCCGATTCGGATCGAAAGAAAAGAAATACAAAGGGTTCATCGAACCCTAATCCCTAATCGAGTGAAGAAACGGGGAAAGAAGGAGTTTTCGATTTTGAAAAGTATTCTAACCCTAACCCTAACCCGCGTGGGGATGAAGAACAGACTCTAACCGTAGCTGGGTGAAGACTAAAGGGGCTCGGCTTCAAGACCGTTTGATCCAAACCCTAAACCCGTGACTAGATCTCGGGGAAAGAAATAGAAAGAAAAGAGAGAAGAAAGTGATTAAAATCGATTCGAAATTTCACAAAACCCTAACCCTAGAATCCCCAAATCCTAACTCTAGAATCCCCAAATCCCAGCAAAGATGAGAACGAACAAAGGGTCCTACACAGGCCTTCATCCGCCGGCGTGCAGGGGATGAAGACTTCTCGCCAGCGTCTTGGGAGACGGCCGAGCTACGCCACCACTGCGGGCTCGATCTGCAAAGGGCACCACCGTGGCTCTCTCTCGGCGGTGCAGCAGCAGCGCTCTAGCCGCCTGCTGCCGCCGGCGGAGAGGGGCCGAAGCGACACCGCCACCTCCACTTCCTCCTCTCTCGGGCGCCATGAGCGATCGCGGCTGCTGAGGATGAGAGAGAAAGGAGGAAAGAAATGAACTAGGGTTTAGGGAAAGGCCGGCCACAAGGGGGTTTTCATCGGTAAACGAATGGGACGGCCGTCGGATTTGATCCGACGGCGTGGAATGACCGGACCACTCAATGCCCGGTAGGGGCTCTGCAGGCAGCATTTTTGCGCCCCGAGCCCACGCTATGGCTCTGGCGTGCGCGATCTTCGATCTGCTGCCGAGAGAGAGGGGTCAATGAATGATGAGTTGGGCCGAGCCAGCTTCTGCTGTCTTGGGCCGAGAAAAGAAAAGAATGAGCCTGGTAATGCACAGTGGTGATTGAGAATTGTTTCATTTTTTTTCGAAGCAGATTTCGATGATTTCATTCAAAGAGTGATTTAAAGTCTCTGATAATTTTTGCACCAACGTGTTAGAATTTTCAAAGAGTAGAAAAGTATAGAAAAATGCTTCTGAAAAGTACATAAAGAAATTTTGTCAGGTTTCCGCTGCAAAGTTAAAGGTTTATTGTCCTCTAATTTGAAGAGAAGTTATAGTTATTCAGTAAATGATGAAAAGTTTATCCTCCAGTTAAAATTGAAATAAACTGAAAAAAATTTTAATTGGAGGAATAGTCGGTTGATAGTTAAGATAAATTATAATATTGTTATTTTCTGACCAACGTTGATAATAACAATATTATAAGTTTATTTATGAGTTTAAGTTTAAAGTTAAAATTATGGTATTGTTATTTTCTGACCAACGTTGATGATAACAATATTATAGTGAGTTTTATGATTAAAGTTTAAATCTCTGATGAATTTTGCATCAAAGTGACCAATTTTCAGAGAATATATAAAGATCAAGGAATGCTCTTAAACTAGAGAAATGTATTTTTCATGTTTCCGCTGCAATGAAGTTGATTGTCTTCTAATTAAATTCGAACCAACGGGAGAATTTAATTTTGAGGAGCAGTTTTATGTTTTTAAGATTATTGAATTTCTATACGTTAATTCTATTTCTGCCCAACGGTGATGTGGAATTAATGTAGAAGAATGATGTTTTATTCTATTTCTGCCCAACGGTGATATAGAATAGAACATAAAGTTTTCAAAGTTTAATGAGCATTATTGTTGAATATTTTTTCAGACAAAAGACCTCCATGCTTTCATTCTAAAGGCGTAAAGAGAAATGAGCTTTGGTACTTATGACTCGGATGATGAAATGTCTAAGGGCAAGTTATGTATGAAAGAATGTCATTGGTTAAGGGACTGTGTTCTCTTTAAAAAATGGCTTTAAAGAAAAGAATTCTAGGATATTGATCCAAGAAAAGAGATAGATCAATGGGAGTCTTCATTGAGAAATGTCTTTTATGTACTCTCTGTGGAGAAGAATTTATTTTCAGTTTCACTTATGAGAGTTGTAAAAGTCATATACATGTTTAATTTGACTAACATTGGATTAAACATGTGTGTTAAAAGAATATTCGGATTTATTTCTGATTGATGATTGAACACGAGCCAATCTCCACAAATTATGTCCGTTCAAAGGAATATCTCGCATGGCGGGAAAAAGTTTATGATAGTACCCACATGACGGGAAAAGTTTGAGAAAATACCGCATGGCGGGTAAAGTTGGCATAGTACATATGTTAACCAATCCTCGCATGACGGGAGAGTTTGGCATAGTACTTATCCCGCATGGCGGAGAAGGATGTGATGACTCATGTGCTCTAAGTATATCTCGCACATGGAGAGAAGTTTGAGGTAGCTTTTATGCTATCCTAGTATTGATCGTACACTCTGATTGTGTCATGGTCATTAAGTACTCAATGAGTTTAAGAACAAAAGAAAGTTGCATGTGAATCAAAAGATAAGAATGATATGCAAGCATGACTTGCAGAAGTATTGATAATAATAGACTATGTTGAGTTTTGAAGTGTAATGAGGAAAATGTACTCCCATACGAATTTTGTTTGCATCTTTGTAATCATGTGGATGAAGTAAGTAATCAAAGTTTCCTCATTCACAAGAGTTTTGAATGTTTCAAATTGTGGTAGAAAAGTTCATACCACACTATTTCTTTACTTTAGGGGTATCATAATTATGACCGTCTTACTCCCTCAACGATCACATTCATCTTTTATAGATCACTTTTACCTTCAATGCATAGTGTGCATTGCTTATCTGAAAGTATGGGGAAGTATCTTTCTTAATCCTTATTTATGCCGGCCGGACGGTACAAGAGTGAGACTGCTAGCTCCATGCAAGTCTTTTAGTAACTACTCCAATGGGTGATTCCTTGCTTACAAAGCAAGTATTAAAGGACTATGTTATTACGAAATGTAAGATTAAGAAAGATACTTCCCCATACTTTCAGATAAGCAATGCACACTATGCATTGAAGGTAAAAGTGATCTATAAAAGATGAATATGATCGTTGAGGGAGTAAGACGGTCATAATTATGATACCCCTAAAGTAAAGAAATAGCTAAATTCCTGGACATTTTACAGTTCCGATAGGAAGATAGCATAGTCAGCTAGTATTTATACTGGATGACGCCATATGAGTTTTAGCAGATTAAACCCAAAATAAGAAATTTGAAGATACACCATCTTTACTGAAGATGGAGTAATCTGGGGGAGCATGGTATGTAGATACCTAAAGCTTGAATAGAAGTGGGATTACATATCCACTACAGTGTTTAGAGCAACAAATTGCTTAATACATGTTGATGTTGTATGACATATACAACACCAGACGTTAGCTCTTAAAGAGGATGAATAAGTAAACAAGGATCTTGTGATACAGGAGGCTATAGAATAAATTGCCTTTTGGCAATGAA